GCGCCCAGAAATCCCCTGGCGGGCGCCATGGCGCCCGCAGGCACCGCATTGGGGACCACGGCTCTAGCATTTACTCCATTAGCTGACCTGGCAGAAGTCTGTGCTATTTATCTAAAAGCTCCAGCCCCTGAAAAGGTCACTACAACTCCGTTATCCAGTTTGTTTTGTTAAAAAGCTAGGAAATTATACATAAAAGTTACATCAAAGAGACACAAGGTGCCAAAATCAAGCTCTCAAAAATTAGGAAATTCTAGACTTAAGGCCTAGCATTTACTCCATTAGCTGACCTGGCAGAAGTCTGTGCTATTTATCTAAAAGCTCCAGCCCCTGAAAAGGTCACTACAACTCCGTTATCCAGTTTGTTTTGTTAAAAAGCTAGGAAATTATACATAAAAGTTACATCAAAGAGACACAAGGTGCCAAAATCAAGCTCTCAAAAATTAGGAAATTCTAGACTTAAGGCTGCCTATGCAACCTTAATTCAACCTTCTTGTGCATGCACATTTTGATACAGTCTCGGCTACATGAACACATGCTATTTTCTTCAGGATCCCTTCCTCGTTCAGTGCACAAGATGGATGGTGCTCTGGGAATGAATCAGGGTTGTGCAGTGAAGGAGATTGTCTGTAGGATCCCTGCTCATTTGGTGCAGATCTTGAAGGGGTCTAGTGAATGAGGCGGAAGACTTCAAGAATAGAAAGGATGGTCTCATAAGACAGATGAACACTGTCCTGGACAAACAGATTCCATCCCTACCTCTGTCACAGATTTCCTCTGTGAAACTTGGCAAGTCATTTAAACCAAACTTTTCAAAGATGGCAACTGCAGGCTCCTTGTTTTCTGGGTACCAACATTAGGTTCCAGAACCAAACACTCACAACTGTAACTGAAGTCAAGGGCAGATGTGCTATTAGAAGTGCAATAGTATTTTATTAAATATTAAATACTATGAAAAAAGTCAGGTCTCATATTAGGCACCCAAAATTATTGGCCATTTTTATCTTAACTGACTCTGTGCCTCATTTCCCCATCTGTAAAATTCCCCCTCCTCTCACAGAGATATTGTGAAAATTCAGTACTATTTGTAAAGCATTCAGATACTACCAGGATGAGCACCACAGAAAAATCCAGAAGGAAATTTATAAGAACATAAGAATGCCATAGTGGGCCAGACCAATGGTCCATCTAGCCCAAAAGCCTTCCATCAGTGGCCAATGGCAGATGCTTCAAAGGCAATGAACAGAACAGGGCAATTAAATACAGTTTCATATAAAGAATATATAATTTGGAAGCCAAATTAAAGTTGCACTGGCTATCTTAATTTTCATAATTCCTCATTTTTGAATGCTTCACTTTGCCACCTTAATGTTCTTTTAATATATACTTTGTGTGTATTATAAAAAGTAATAGCCTAAAAATCCAGTAATAGAAAAAAATCATATTGGTGATACCAAAGTACTTTATTTCTCCAGCAACCTTCACTTACATAAAGAACTAAACATCAAATCTTACCCATCAATGATGTTTTCAGGGGGGTATTTTTCATCACTTGATGTGGCTAGAATAACTTCAGTCCCTTCAGAGCTCAGGCATAAGTCTGTTGATTTCATCCTTTCTTGTTAACCAGCATAGGATTAAAAAAAAAAAGTTCTTGAAATAACATCATCAAGTGGGAGTGTGCTTGTGTTGCCTAGCAGCCAAATCAACCCTTAACAGGAATTCAGAGAGGGCATGTTACACTCTTATGGGCAACACTCTAGTCTGTCTCTTTTAAGATCTCTATGATTAAACTGCCGATATTTCTTGAGTTGCAGTCAAAACAGTCCTCTCACACAACACTGCTGCCCACAAATAGTTCCAGTTCTAAAGTAAAAGTAACTGCTTGCGTTTCTAATAGTATTCTTTTTAAAAATGCTTAACATGCATTTTACATAGTAAAAAATACCTATGTTTTAATTAAGATATATAGCTTCAAGGTTTTTAATAACATATTTTAAAAATCATTAGTGTTTACTGTAATGCTGCCAAAGCAGATAAACTCCTAACAAATTATAATATAGAATTATAGTACTTTGTGCTTTATATAGCACCTATAAGTATAATTTATAAAGAACCTAAAAATCCTAGAAAACTTTACAAATAATAATAAGTCTTGCAGTATTTTTATAAATTAAATTATGGCTTTTCCCTTCTGGTATTCCCCTTTTTTTCTTAATAT